TCAGTTTCAATCAAAAATATTAATACTTAAATAAATGCAATAACATCGGCAACCCTAACCCTTCATTTCATTTTCATAGTATGATGTATAATCTGACTCAGCGAGTCGTTAATATAGGCAACACAATACTCTCGTCAGCTTCGAGGCCGGTCGGTAATTCTATCGTTCAAACGAACGACTCACTGAAGAGAGATGAACGAAGAGAGATGAGCGAGCAGAGAAAAGAGTCGTACGTCTCAGGACTAGTTGACAAGAACGACAAGCTGTCAACCGGACGGAGCAGCGTTGCCAAGCGTATATCCGCGTACTGAGAGCAAATACTTCTCTATAATGTACCGAGGCTGGACCTTAAAAGCGCCACTCACTACGAACCTCAATAATACCATTCAGACCTTTAAAGGAGTCAAATGTTATCACTCTAAGATTGTACTATTGAACCTAGTTAATCCATACTATGCTTCCACCGCAAATAATCCTGCGCGATTGATGCAGCATTTAAAAAAAAGCCACACAGGTGACAGCAACGGAAATCCCACCAAACGCACACGACTCAAGTTGGAGTTGTTAGATCCTGATTTTCGCCTTTGGCAATTCTATGTGGTAGAAAAGCACATTGAGTTCAAGTTCGAGGCTTCCAGTTTCGGCAATTGTTTAGCCCACCTCTATTGTTTAGCCAACCTAGATATTTGGTGAATGAAATATTTGTGCGTAAAGATGTTGCGTGCTCGATTTTTTATGTAATTTTATTATATAATAATTCGTCGAAGCGGACGTTAATATTCATTGCAGTTGATTTTCGTTTCGTCATTTCGCACGCACTTTGAATAAACGTTTCGAAATGTTGTGACACAAGCTTCCTTAGCTCCTGGTTGATGTTGGATGCATATGTGACATCTCTGTAGGTTCGAAGATATACATATAAATATTTTTGACAATTTATTATTTATGTTCGAAGATTTGAGATGGAAAAGCAGAAAAGGCTGCGACTACAGTGCTATCAAAGGCCCGATTCAGTGCAATGCAATTCTTTTTTGTGCTCCTGAGGCTAGGCGGGAGGCTGTGGTATCAGTGTTATCCGTAAAGACTGGTACAGAAAGAATAAGTTCCTCTCTGTGTACAAAGATATTAGGCCTTACTATCGACCAGAGGCTTAGGTTCACAGATCACCTAAAGGATCTCCTAAAGAAATCATACCTGCGGTTGTGTCGTATGTGGATAGAAGAAGGTAGAGGAACACGAAGAAGGCAGTAAATGCGTCTGTTTCGTTTTCTGTGCGCCACCCTGTATAGTGGCTGAGTAAGCGAGATATTAATCCAAAGAAAAATGTAACAGCACTTAATCAACACTATGGCAAACGTTAATCATTGTTTCAACCTTGATACCGATGGCTGTATATCAATAAACTTTTCAATTCCAATTCTGTCTTTTTTTTATCGAATTGTTTATGTACTGTTACTTGCGTGGATTATGAATAATATGAAGCCGATGAAAGTCTTTGCGCGTTGACAATCTTATGAGAAAACGTCAAAAAAAGAATCAGTTCGTTATTGGAATGATTCCGCCTTATTCTCACCGGTTATTTTGATTTATTATAAACATTGAGGCTAGGAAAAAAACTTTATCACGCGTTCATTTGGAATATCTTTAAACTTGACTTTTGACCGCATTCTCCATACTAATCAACAAAGAAAGTTGCTATAAGCACATAACCTCAATCGTATAAGAAAATCGTGCTAACTTTTACCCAGAATTGATGCGGGCGTGGATTCAAGGTTCACCGCGTTCAAAAATTCACTTTCCGCGGAATAAATAAATAAATAATTCGAGGGGAATCGAGCATGATCGAATGACCACCGATACGTTCACTTGTTTCATTGAGCGCGCGTCGTTAGTAGGCTGTGAGAGAGGTGCAATTGTTTTTGCACGGCCAACCCAGTTCTTTTTGAAAGGTTTTTCTTCGGTGATCATTTATATAGAAAGGTTGAATAAAAAAGGTCGGCGTTATATAGGCTGAGTAAGCTTGGAGCACTGATATGGTTCGTTAATCATATTAAATTACAGAAAATGCAACACCGACTAGGAGTGCTGTAATTTTGAGCATACTTTCACAAGTTTTCAATAAATAATTCTGGGCGTTGCGTTTATTGTCACTTAGTATACAAAATTATCATACGTTAAGCAAATATGTGTCTTATTTGGTGTGTATTATATTACTTTGTTTGTTATATTGCTTTATTCGCGCTAGTAATTAGTATACCTGTAATAAATAAATATGGTTCTTGGAGAATTTTTAAATCAATGGTTCCAGTTTCAACTACGTGCAGCGTATGCTTGTACCCAGCTATTTCCAAATCACAACGATTTCTAATGAAGCAAAACCTTTCCGTTTATTGCATTGTTTAAAACAAATTAACAGTAATTATTATCGAGCATTTGCATAACGGAAAAATCACAGTAGCTATTTGAACATTTCGCAAAATGAGGAAGCAATCGAATATTATTTTTGCGGCAGGTTTTAGCAATATCGCAGCTAATAATTTTGCATCGCAATATCCATATAATAATTGTATGTCGTTGCGGCAATGTTTGAAAAAATTGACCAACTTAATTAATATGGATTTAATGTGAATGACGCTTTTTCGGAAAATTTTTGTACTGCGGATCCGTTCGAGAGAAAAGAATAGGTATAGGCAGATGTGCTGGACGGTCATTTTGGTAGACAATGGTCGACAAATTAGCTAGAAGTGTGCAATTAAACTACATATTTTGGGCAAAAGCAATGTAAACATACAGTGTGTCCCAGATTCGCTACTCTATGCAGGGATCTCGGCTCTTGTTATACCTACAGCAAAAGTTAAATAGAGAAAGTTGTAGAGGTCAATTGGTTTTGGAAACATCGGCGAAAAACCGAAAATGTCGATTTTTGTTTTTTGCCGGTAAATCCGAAACGGTTGATTTGACAGCAGTCAAAAAGTTACATTATTCGGACATTTTTTAAGGCAAATAAAATCCCGCGAATGACATGTCTTAATCGTCTTTTGTTTTCCCGCAATCTGCCTCAACTTTAATTTTTTATGGATTTTTCGATTTTTGAAAAGAGCGCAAAATTTCCAGCCTACTGATGTCTCACAAGTGCTTAAAAGATTGGAGTATCATCGAAATATCATGACACGTAATGTTATGTAGTGTAAAATAAATTTACGACGATTTTTATTACTTGTTTTTTAAACACACTCATAGTTGGGTATTTGTTCCAAAACATTTGACTTGTTGAGAAGTCGATATTAACTAATGTTATTTTCTGACAAATAAATCATGGCCTCCTTAGAAAAAAACTAATATCTACATAACATTACGTGTGAAGATGTTTAGGTGATACTCCAATCTTTTATGCACTTGTGACACATCACTACACTGGAAATTTTATGCTCTTTTCAAAAATCAAAAAATCCAAGATGGCGGTCACAAGAAAAATGAAAGTTGAGGCGGGTTGCAGGAAAACAAAAGACGATCGAGAATGCCATACATGCTATCTTATTTTTCTTGAAAAAATGTCCGAATAACGTCACATTTTGACAGCTGTCAAATTAACTGTTTTGCATTTACTGGCGAAAAACAAATTCGGTCATTTTCGGTTTATCTCTGATATTTTCAAAACCGATCGTGAATCTGAAGCCGGCTATCGAAAGCACTAAGTTTCCTCTAAAACTTTAACTTTTGCTGAAAGTATATCAGGAGCCGAGATCTCTGTATAGAGAAGCGGATATGGGACACACTGTATAGTGCTTAACTTCTTCCAATGCATCGAAAAAAGTGAGAAAAGTGAGCCCCCAGCATCCCTGCAATTAACTAGATTTTTGGCGGTACCTCCTCGCCATTCAGCAAGGAAAATAATTATTATAAATCGATCTCTATTTTATGTGCAATGTCTATACAGGGTGTCCGCAAAGTTGGGGTTTTCCTTTTCAGAAATAACAAAGGTAATGTGTAGTGAAACGAGGGCGACCAAGTAAAAAAAAATAAAGGAAAAAGTACTCACTCTCCAGTTGACGAGAAGGGCTGAGTACGTCTCTGCCCGAAATCATACCGCTCCAACAGAAAATGAAATCAGCTGATGCGCTACCCAGCAGACGCCGGCGGTGGTGCAGACCACGAACAGAGGTAACAAATATGACCATCGTGCAGAAACCACATTGATTGTCTTACACCTAATGGCACATCTTCTAACAAGGAAGGCAAAATGTTGCGTAAAAAGTCTAGGTATTGCATCCCGTCCAATCGATTTGGGAGAATAAATGGTCCAATGAGCATACCGTTCACCATGCCAGCCCAAACATTCACCGAAAATGTTTGTTGAAAATGTGCCCGACGGATAGCGTGCGGATTTTCTACTGACCAAACATGAGTGTTGCGAAAGTTATTCACCCCATTACGCGTGAACGTAGATTCGTCTGTCACCAATATGCACTTCAAAAAGTCCGGATTATTGTCATGTTGATGCAACAACCACTCACAAAACCGCACTCTTGCTGGAAAATCGTTAGGTTGAAGGGCTTGTACACGTTGGACGTGAAACGGATACAGCCGCTCTTCACGCAGCGTTTGCCACACTTTAGTTTTTGATACTTGCACTTCTCTAGCCACGTCTATAATGCTTGTTGTTTTTTGAAACGCAATCGATTATACGGGTTCGTTTATCTCTACACGCGTGACCGTAACCGTCGGTTGAAGGTTGCATACTGACCTGACACCTCAACCCAGTTCTGTCGTCGGGTTGAGCTAGTGTCCTAGTACCACTCGGGGATGTCGCGGCTACAGGACGGTATTCAGATATTTTTGATGTTGCAGAGCCCTTTATCTCGGTTCCCTTAAGACATTGGTGTATATGGTACTAAGAAAAATTTCTTATGTTTTCAAGATCTACACGTCGTGTAAAGGAAAACGCCAACTTCGCGGACACCCTGTATATACAAACATTTCTACCGAATCCTCTTTTTCAGATGGTAGGCCTGAAAATAGTCGACGACCTGCTGAACAAGTCTTTCTACAAGCTAGGCCTGGTAGTAGGCAAGTACCCCGGGTACTTCCTCATAGTACCCATCCTGCTGACGTTTCTCGGCATGACGGGGTACCAACGAATGAAGAACAACATCGATCCAGAGTACCTGTTCAGTCCCCTCAACGGCGAAGGCAAATTTGAGAGGGCCATAGTCGAGAGCTATTTCAAAGTCAACTATTCTAGTCGATTTAGCGTTTCTAGGATCACCAGAGCAGGTAAGAAAAAAAACAAGCTTAAAAAGTATATTGACTATATACCGGTGGGAAAGTTCACATTTCAAATTTGAATGACGCGGCAACCGTATACGCGAGGAAGTGGGGAGAGGTCTTGATCGACGCGTTCGGCGCGCGGGTTAAATAGTCACAATGGAACGTCGGACCGGAGCGCAACGTGCTTTTGCTATCGAGGCTTTAAGAGTGGCGATTCATACGCCCATTTTCACTTAGGCGGTTATGTGAACAAGCAAAATTGCAGATATTGAGCACAAACGAATCCAAAAGAGAAACATCAAAAACAGCTACATAGTCCAAAGGTACAGGGTGGCCCATAAGTCCTTTGAGCTGGAAAAAAAGGAATAAAACCAAACTAGTTATATTATGAAGAATTATTATATTTTGTTATCATCTTTATTGAATGGGAATTATGTTTTAACAATCACATCGTCTAAATGCAATCCATTACGATCACGGCACTCATATAAACGACGTCTAAAATTGTCGATGACTGCGCGGCAAGTCAACACTGTAATGCTTGCCATTTTTCTTCGGATATTTCCTTTCATGACATCAACTGATCGCGGAGTGGTGTCGTACACTTTACTCTTGAGGTAGCCCCATAAAAAGAAGTCCATTGGGCTCAAATGTGGACTACGTGGTGGCCAGGAAATGTCTCCTCTTCGAGAAATTACTTTGCTGGGAAAAAGTTAACAGACGACGGGCATAGAAGTGTTGGAGGTGTGGGCAGTTGCTCCGTCCTGTTGAAACCAGGTCTGCGTATTATAGCCTGGAAAATTCTGCAACGCTGGTGTCAAAAACTCTTCTATCATTGCTACATACCGCTCCGAAGTAACAGTTAATGCGCGACCTCTGTCGTCCTCAAAAAAATAAGGGCCTACGATGCCATGCGCTGACATAGCAGCCCAAACTGTAACTTTAGGGCTGTGTAAGGGCTTCTGATGCTTACACCTTGGATTTTCGGGGCTCCAATAACGGCAATTTTGTTTATTTACATGGCCGTTTAAATGGAAGTAAGCCTCGTCCGAGAACAACACATTATTGAGCGAAGAAAATCGATTCAACATTTCATTCGCAAAGTTTAGTCTCTGAACAGCGTCATTATCTTTTAGTTCCTGCACTAACTGAATTTTGTAAGCGTGCAGACGTAAATGTTTCCTTAAAATCCGCTGTAAAGATGTTCTGGGTACGTTTAGTGCACTGGAACGCTTACGACTAGACTGGGTAGGATTTTGACGAACAGACTGTGCCACAATGTTGATGTTTTCTTCAATACGAGTTGTCCTTGGTCGACCCCACCGCTGTTTATCTAACGTCGAACCAGTCTCTTCGAACTTAGCAACCCAGTTCTTAATCGTTTGAGCTGTTGGACACTTTGTAAAATTGTGTAAATTGTGGTATTCTCGATATTTACGCCGCGCAATGGTTGCCGAATCATTATTTTGATAAAACGCGCGCACACAAAAAGCACGATCCGCTCCAGTGAAACACTCCATGGCGACTGAATTCCCAGACACTGAAGATACTGCCCCCACCTCGCCCGCGCCGCTCACGCTCACCCGTTAAATTTTATTCAAATTTGAAATTTCAAAGGACTTATGGACCACCCTGTATTATTGGGACGTATTTCTTTGAAGATGAAAATGGTCATACATTGACAGTCAATTCCGAGCCATACGAATTTTTCTGATTTGTCTTAGATAGTCCCTTCTCCAGATAACTGCTTCGTCTTTTTCCAATAAAAGACTGTTTCTTCCCCGCTTTTTGCATTGAAATCCCATTTCTTTTAATAATTTATGGAAGGTAGATCTCTTGAAACTTGGCAAGCCATTATCCTCGTTAACCAGCTTCAGCACTTTACCCACCATTGATGAAAGGAAAAATTGTGTACAATTCTCATTATGGCATCGCTGATTTTTTTCTTGGCGGATACTTTTTTGAGTCGACCAGTGAATGGTTAGATCTGTACTCCCGAATAATTCGGTGAACACTTGCACGACTAACGCCCCAAATACTTGCTACTTTGCAAACAATGTCCTGAACCCTTGAGTCACTCTTTACTTGCATTTCGCGTTTATAAATGTTGATAATTATTTGTTTTTCGCTAACGCTAAAATGAAGCCTTTCAGCTCTTTTTTTAGGCGGTGTGCAGCTTATATCAACGACTTCATCAGCTGTATCAGTATCTGACATCTTGAGTTCTACGAAATTAAACTGAATAATCTAGTAAGCACACAGATCACTGTTTTGGTTTAGTCTCTTTCTTCGATACATACATGTAAACCTTCTATAGTACACACAGCTACCCAGTAGATCACACCTTAAAGAAACTGATAAATTCTGTTGCAAACTGCACGGTTTGTTACACTAATATACAATCTCTCTTTTCTAAGCTACTTGAACTCCAAGCATTTGTTCGAAACAATAATCCAACGTTCGTTTGCCTTACTGAAACATGGCTCCATTCCAACGTGTCCGACTCTTCCATCAATTTGCCTGGATACTATTTATACAGAATGGATTCACCACGCACTCCTGGTTTTGGTGGAGTATGCATTTATGTTCGCATGGAAATCGCGTCGGCTTTCTCGGTATCTCCCTCTTTCAGTCCTTTCGATGGCATTGACAATCTATTTTTGGAATTGAGGTGCCCAAATTTCAGCTTCACGATAGGCTGCATATATCGGCCACGGCCCTGTTTGGGAGACACACACCTGTGCAGTCTCATTTCAGATCTCTTAAATAAAAACACCAACCTTTTCATAGCTGGCGACTTCAATCTACGTGACATTAGCTGGCCTATGTCAACCATTCCTGAATGCAATTCTTTTTCTGCTGCTTACATCGACTTGCTACGCAACTCTAGCATATCTCAACTTGTTGATCGTCCAACGAGATTCAGGGAAGGACAGACGCCTAGGGCTCTGGATTTGATATTCGTTAACGACGCCGACTTTGTTTCTAATTTAGATTATTTGTCACCTTTTGGCAAGTCTGACCACTGTTCACTTTTATATTCTCTCCAGTTCAATATACATAGTCGTTCTACAACCGATAAGTGTAAAACCATCAAAATTGTAAACCACGATGCTCTTAACCAAGCCCTGTCTGAAGTCAACTGGCCAGCTTTGCTTAACAACCGTAGCACCCAAGATATGTGGGACACTTTCGCTCAACGAGTCCTAAGCGAAACGGCTGACAATACTGTTGAAAAGAAGGTATACTGTGACCCCTCAAAGCCCTGGATCAACTCTACATATCGAGGATGCTTCGTCACAAGAGATCTTTGTGGCAACGGTTTAGGAGGAGTGGCCATTCATAAGATTACGTGTCTCATCGATCCTTTTCTAACCTCCTATCTAGAACGTTACATAATGCCAAACATGCTTATGAACGAAAACTCGTTACCTCCAAAAATAAGAAGAAGCTGTTTCGGTATCTAAGAACAAACCTGAATTGCAAAGTTTCATCACCTCAGATCCGCGACGCTGACGGTCATCTCCACATGGATGCCACCGAATCTGCCAACTTCCTTTAGTGATGACTTCGTCGATGAGCCTAATGGAGACCTTCTACCGACCACTATCTGCCATAGGTGTTCCAACAGCCTTTGCGAAGTTGAGTTCCTGCCTGAAGATGTATTAATGCACCTGCGAAATCTGAAGACCTCTTCCTCCCCTGGTAAAGATGGGATGACGGCTGTTGTAATTAAAAACTGCGCTTCAGCACTGGCCCTACCATTAAGCTTGATATTCACATCGTCTTTTAGATCTCATACCTTACCCTCATGCTGGCTTAGTGCTTCTGTTACCCCTGTATTCAAAAAGGGCGACAAATCCTCCGCTAAAAATTGTCGACCAATAAGTCTCGTTCCTATCGCCGCCAAAATAGCTGAAAGAACCATATTAGATAAGCTCCTGTCATTTGCTTTCGAAAATGACCTTATCCCTAAGAATCAGCATGGATTTCTCCCTGGTCGATCAATAATGGCCAACCTTCTCCACTCTCTCAACGATTGGACTCAGTATCTGGACACAAACACTCCTGTTGATATAATCTACTTAGATTTTTCTAGGGCTTTCGATCGCGTACCACATAGAAGGCTTCTGTTTAAGTTGGAATGTATGGGAATAAGAGGCGAGTTGTTACTGTGGATTAAGGCTTTTCTCACCGGGAGGACTTTCTCTGTGCGCGTCAGTGATAGCCAGTCTCACTTTCATCATGTAGCAAGTGGAGTTCCTCAAGGCTCTGTCTTGGGGCCAGTGCTGTTCCTTCTGTATACAAGTGACCTGCCCGCATTGATTTCCTCCACATGTTCAGCTTATGCCGACGACACCAAGATTTACAATACTGTCGTAAATTCTGCTATGCTTCAACGAGATCTTGATATTGTTTGTCCATGGTCAGTCAGTTGGCTTTTACCCTTAAATCTAACTAAGTGTTGTGTCCTTCACCTCGGGTAGACAAATCCGCGATTTACATATAAGATCTCTGACCACAACATCGAAGCAGTTTCGAGCCACACTGATGTGGGCGTTGTAGTCAACGATCGTCTTTCCTGGTCAGATCATATTCACCACGTTACATCAAAAGCCAAGAAACTTCTATACATGCTGGAGAGGTCTTTCAAAGGATCCGATGTCAACACTTGCGCCTACATTTACAAGGCATTCGTGAGGCCAATTCTTGAATTCGCTGGCCCGGTATGGGACACTGTGCTTCTGCGCGATAGAAATCTCGTCGAATCAGTACAGCGTCGGGCTACTCGTATCCCTTTTGGAGCACGAAGACCAAGCTATGAAGATCGCCTTGAATTATTCAACCTGACCTCATTCTCTGAGCGAAGACTTCGTGACGATCTTATAGTTACGTTCAGGATACTTCATGGATTGATGGGCACCAACCTCATGCATCTATACCGTCTGTCGCGCAGCAATCTACGCGGACACAGCTTCAAACTGCATAAGGAGCCATTTAAAACA